CTCCTACCCAGTTCCCATTCAACGATTTGCCAATGCAATTTTACCCCCAAAAAAGACAGCTGCAAACGGAATTGGCCTGGCCCTAGCCCTGTTCAGCAAATTTGTCTCTGGCATTTTGCAACGCGACTTTCGGGCACTTGAAGGGTGGCTGGGGCAGGGGCAGGGGGGAGCTGCTGATAAGCGGGCTACTTGTCTACTTGCACCCGGACGACTCCCAAGACAGCTGAAAGTGCTGCCATAGATATAATGTTGGAAAACGCTGATTACGGGCATTACGAGCTGGCAAAATGGGCAAGTGGCAAACGGCAAGAGAAAGGCAAGGCAGGAAAAGGTATTGCTGGTGGTAATACGACTACAAGCCGCGCCAAAATGTGCTGATCGAGCGGCAAATTGCTTAATGAAGCGTGGCTTATAGCAAAACAAAAAAAAGGAAAAAGAATACTCGTAACGGAATTGCCGAGGCTTTGGTCAGGTGAGCCTCAGCCTCAGCCGCAGCCGCAGCGAGCGAGCGATCGATCGGAGCAGACAACAAAATTGGCCAGCGGAAAAGTGCTGCACGAACTCGCTGCGATCTAGGCACACAGCCTCCACTTCCCTCTCCTGAGTGCAGCTTGTGCAGGTGCAGAAAAAAAGCCAATCAATTGCGCAATCTCGAGACCAAATTGTGAGACTTTTCCACTGCGAAAACCTGCCCGCGATCGTGGCCAGGCTGTCAACGGCTTTGGGTTTTTACTGTAGCTCTTTGTTGTTGTTGTTGTTGTTGTGTGCCCCACAAAATGTCATTCCATGCCCGTTCATTGAAATTGAAAGCTGCAAAAATTAACATTGCACGCGGGGCACATAAATACAAGTTTTGTGGACAACAAAAAAACCTAATTGTAAATGCAAATTCGAAAAAGAGAAAACAAATATCTAAGGCCAAATGGGAGGCTGTGGCTGGGAGGGTAACGAATAAGGGTTTACCCTGGAACAGATGGGGAAATTTGTGCAGATTGAGTGACCAGAAGTGGGTGTAAGTTTAGGCTGCAGGGCAGCTGTTTGAAAGGCATCAAATATAAATATTTATAATAGTTTTTCATGTAATATTTCGACACCATTCTAATACCCTTTGCTAGCACAAATGACACATACAAATGCATGGTCACACAGTCAGCTGCGTTGACTAAACTGCTGCTCGATGTGGCTGCCAGGTTGCCGGCATTTGGCGAGTGTTACGCGACTTTGAGCGCTCTAATTGCGCGCTTGTTCGGCTAACACACAACAGAAACAACAGAAACAACAAAAACAACTAAAACCACTGACAGCAGAACCTAAAACAGCAACAACAATGCGACGAGGCGACATGCAACAGCGCACAGGCGTGGAACGAACATTTAGACTGCGAAGCAAAAATTCAAATGTGCTCCGCAGACAAAACACGCGACTGGCAGGCAGTGCACTGTGTGGCAGATAATTTGTTATTAAGTGGAGTGGAAATGCGTAGGAAAATATATGATATAATCGGAGAACATGCATGGCCGGGCGTATGGCAACAGGCGTTGAGTTTTTCAAGATCAAGTTCAAGTTTACAGCGATGGCAGCTCCATGGAGTGCGCTGCACAAAATGTCGTAGATCGAAGTTTCTGCTGTCTGATGGCGTTGATGGGAAACTTGCAAATGCTTCTGTCACACAGCAAGCCACAGAAACCTTGAAGCTGTTGGCAATTGGCCAAACGGCACACAGCAACAACAACAAGAAAAAAAAGTGTCTTAGGATGCGGCGGGCAAAAATCACCTTTTGACCCACTTTAAAGAGTTGCTTGTGCTTTGCTGTTGTGCATAATGAGGCAAATGATGTTGCAGCCACTGATTGATGGGAAGACACAGAGCGACAGAGAGAGAGATAGAGAACCGCAGCCAACCCTGAGGCTTTGCTGTACAAATCAATCCAATGAAAGCAGCGTGTAATGGCAGTGTACAGCAAGCATGCCCTGCAGCTGCAGCTATGACTGTGTGACTTTGGATGTGTCTCTGCTTTGGGTGAAAATCAAACGGAACCAACGGAAGTCAAGCGCGATTTGTGATTCGCGAATCTGCCAGCCAGCCAGCCAGCCAGCCAGCCATTTAGCGCCGTTGGGGGCTCCACAGTTAGCTGCCGATGACATCGCAGCCAAAATGTCAAATGTGAAAAGCAGATGCTTGCGGTTTAGCTGCAGCCGAACGTGACTCTGGCATTTACGGACTTTAAATGAATTGCAGCCGGAGGAGGAGATTGCAGCTTTAAGAGTTGTGCAGCGGAGAGGCAGCTGCCTGGAAGAGCAACGACGACCCCATTTAAGTGTGCCAGCGTCAGCCAGCTCTCTCCCTCAAAGATACACAAAACGCACTCACGGTGGCACACACTTAATTATGCATTAGGCTGCCCAGGTAGGAGGAACGAGCAACGCGGAGTTCAACGAACTTTTGTGGGGCTTTAAGGATGTCAAGATTTATGCAACTTAAAGCACGAATAAGTGTAAACAAAATCTGTGCTATTAAATGACATTTCCTGCTGCTGGCACCCACCCAATTTCCCTGGCAGCTAAAGTCTAGACTCTAGAGCCTTAATTAATTCCGTTTAGCAACTGTCCAGGCGGTGGCATCATTAAATCAGTCTCCATTGTTTTCGAGCATCCATCTTGCACCTTAAGACTGTCAAAGGTGGTCGATGTGTAATTGGCAAAATACGTTCAGCGTTTGGTTTGCGATGTGCCATGTGGCCATGTGGCCATGTGGCGCGCTCAATGGAGCGTGGCAGTGGAGGGCTGCTGCTGGCTGTTGGGCTCACACTTCAGTGCATCAGAGGGGGTAGCAGCAGAGTGTAGCTGGCAATTGATGGCTTAACCCACGCGTGTGGGGGGGCCAGAGGCATTTGTGTAGATTTGAATTGAATTTGCAGCACGCACGCAGTTTGGCGGATTGACCATTGTTGTTGTTGTTGTTGTTGCTGTTGCTGTCGTCGTTTACTGACCACTTCACAGTCTGCAGAGTAATGAATGGCTTAATGTGTGCAGCAGCCCGAGTGTTTGTGTCTGTTTGTGTGTGTGAGACACATGGCAGCTGTGCGCAAATTTATATTGCCTACTTTTTGGGGCAGCTGAGGGAGGCTGGAAAGAGGCTCCTGCGGACAGGACTGTGAAGCTGCAATTGATTTTGTTTTGCTGCCCGCACATTGCCCAACAATTGTCTCCAGCTGGAACTTCTAGAGTTGCTCCACGAGAGAGACCAGCACGCCTCGTTGCACACCGGAAAGAGCAGGAGGCAGTGAGGCAGGAGGCAGGAGGCAGCCGGAGGCAAATGAGTGTGTCCTGTGCCCGCACGAGCGCCTTGTTTATTGAATTTGGGCCGGACTGGAGTGGAGTGTCTTTTGTGTGAGAGGCTGACAACGATGTGTGGCTGCTGCTGCAATTGCGGATGTGTAATTTTTGCATGTCTCCGGCATTACATTTTGCAGCTCCCACACTCTCTCTCCCTCTGTGTGGATGTGTGCTCCTGGGCAATTAGGACTATGATATTCCGCTCTAAATCTCCTGCTGCTAATTGTTTGCAATTCCACAAGCAGACAGACAGACAGACAGCCTGCAATCCAACAAGTAATTGAAGCTCAAGTCTGACCTCAGCATAATTGCCTGTGAATTGTTTCGATTATAATTGCCAAATGTCATGACATAACGCTGTCCACATACATACAGCCTGGAGGGCTGGCTGAACTTTATTAGTGCTCGACTTTGACCCAATTTTGGGCAGGGAACTTCCGCTCTGCCTGCCGCCTTTTGATTCGATTATTTGCCTCAAGCAATTTCCTTGCTTTTCATGAATAAAATTTGATCAAAATAATATTTTTCTCCTCCTCCCTTGGCAAACAGCAAAAGGTAAATGCATCTTTCGTGGACGTAGTCCGCTCCCCCACACCCATACAAGTCGAACTGTACCGATCCGAGTGGAGACTCCCATGTGCGCGTGTTTTTGTCGTTTCCCAGCCGGCACGTGACTTGTGTGGGTAAGTGGCTTGGCCTCTACCCCTCTTCCCCTCTGCAACTTCAACTTCCAATTCAAATTCTGTTCGCTCTTTGCTTTTGCATTTTGCGTGCAACGATTTGTGTTGCCCCAAAAGCTGATTTGTGCTTCGTGTTGTATGCAACGTGCAGTCAGTCGTGTTTCTTGTTTGTCGTTGCTTTGTTATAGGCTTTTAATTGACATATGCGTTTTTTACACGATTTCTTCTGCCAGTTGTTAGCTGCTCCCCTTCCAACTCTCCACTGGCTGCATGCTAATGAATCTCTCTCTTCTCTCTCCCTCTCTCTCTCTCTCTTTGCAGTTCTCGATGATGACTGTGCCAAGCAACTGATTGGCTGACACACACACACACACACAGACACCAGCTAACCCCCTACTAAAGGTGAGTTATTAGCCCGTCTAGGGCCATGGGCTATGGGGTATGGGGTATGAGTTGGGTTTTCGGTTAATTGGCCTCGCATGCGCTTCGATGTTAATTAAAGCAGACAGCAACAGACAGCAGAGCACGAGTGGGGGCAGGAGTGCTGGTTAGGGCTTAGATTATTGATATTAACACCAATTTGTATGACCTCGCCACGAGTCCGCCTCAAGCTTCATTTTTGTTGAGACTTTGTGCGCAAATCTGTGCTCATAATTCATGTTTATGCTGCTGCTGGCGTTACATTTTACTTAGTTGCTTTGACTAAATTAGAAATAAAAGCTGCCAGCGCGGAGCTTGAGTGAAATTTACCAAGGGAACATTTTAAATTAAAAAGGAAAGCTCCACAGAGCTCCTAGCTGAGGCAGCTCCTTGGCTGTTACGTGTGCGGCCAACTCTTCAGGCAACCCGCGCAGCTTTCGCAGAGCTTTCGTCCGAAGTGCAGCTTTCACTCAGCACTCGCTCGCTCTCGCTCTCGCTCGCTCTGTCTGTGTCCTGGCGAAACGTTTTTGCAGCAGTCCCTCCGCGAACTCGACCAGAAACGGAACGCGGCAGAACGGAACGTTGGCTAGGCGCGCGCTCGCTCGTCGCTCAGTTGGCAACGCAAGAAGCAGGGGGGGCAGCGACGGAGGAGAAAGAGGAGGAGGATTGGCAGAGCCACGCGAAATCCTAAAAGTAAAATGAATTAGAAAATGTGAGCGCCGTACCGACGGTTACATAAACGAAACAATATTCCTCTCGAAAAATACACACACACAAAAAAGAAAGCAACTAAAAAAGAAAATCGACAAAAAGCAAAAAGCAAAAAGCGCGTTCTGTGTGAGAGTGAAATTATCCTGGCTTTGCTTTGGTCGTTCCTCTGCCAGTGCCTGTGCCAGGGCCAGTGCCTGTGCCTGTGCTGATTGTGCTGCTCACGTATATTATGTAAATGATTATGTGCCAGGAAAACGGAGCCAGCCAGGCAACAGCCGAAGACTCAGCAGTGGTCGGAGCTCCTCTTCGTCGTTCGATGTGTGGCCCGAGCCCACAGCTAGAGCCAGTGCCAGTGCCAGTGCCTGTGCCGTGTCCACCTTTAGCTGCCACGTTTTCAACGTCCACTGGGCACAGACACTGGAGTTCTGTTTCTTTTTTTGCGCCGCCTTTTCCTTTTGACACAAAGTAACACTTTTTCATCTTGCCACACACACACACGAGTGCTGCTATCTCTCTCGCCACAAAGGCAGCACCTGCAGAGGGACAAAAGGCAGCTCCAAATTGTTGCCAAGTTTTCCCATCTTTGGCAGCGGCTCCTCTCCTAAGCGAATAACTCACAGGCACCCGCCCCCACTTGTCGCCTTCCCAACTGCTGAATAAGTTATTTTAAAATAAAAATGTATCTTGCACAACAACATGGCAGCAAGGACACTGTGGCAGGATGTATGCTTGTTCCCCTGGTTTGTCCAGCCATTGGGGCTAGTGTTCGAGCGCTTAATACAAATCAAATTTAAGCATTAATTCGACTAATTGGCGCTCGTAAAAGTTGTGTGTGGCCGGGGCAAGCTCCGGGGCCAGCGGCAATGCCACTGCCAATCGCTGTGTGGCCGTGTGGCTGGCTTCGATGGCAAATTGAATGAAAAGCCTGACCCAGCGGTTGACTACGGTTTATTTAATTAAACTCCCGCTACGAATGTGCACCATTCGAAATGGAAATGGAAATATTATCCCCAAGCCCCCCCAACTGCTCCCGATGCAGCAGCAGCAGCAGCAGCAGCAGCAGCAGCAGCTGAAACTGAATCGGCTTTTGGTCTTTGTGGTCACTCGTTTGCGGGTTTTATGAAGTTTTCACGAAACTTTTGCCAGTGTCCACCTGTGCGCTGGCCTCAAAAGTTACGAAACTTTTGTGAGCTTTGGCTTTTAATTTATGTTTTTAGGGAAGTTTCTTAGGGTAGAGAAAAGGGCAGCTGTTTTGGCAATATTTATAATCAATTTGGAGCTCACTTTATCTGTTTCTAGCTGCCATAATCTAGGGCCAAGAAATGGCCAGGGACTTCCTGCCTTCATGATTTATGAGCTGTATAAATGCACGTTGAAAAGTTAACTATTTCCACAGTCTGTCTCTTGCCTTTCCACTTTTTCACATGCTTTTGCCATTTCAATTTTCATAATTTTCATAATTTTCGTAATGGCATTGCCTAATTTTGTGGCAGCAACGAAGAGCAGACTAAACAATTTTTGCATTTTGCAATTTTCCTCTGCTCTTCTGCGTTAAAATGTAAAATTAGATTTCGCACGCGTCAAGTAAAGTGCACGAAACGCAGCAATCAGCTGCCACTCAGGGATGTCATGCCGCAACCTACTTCTGCCATATATAAATCCACTATAGACCCAAACTCAAACCCCTTTGCAGCTAGCACTTAATTTGCTGCGTGCTTTCTGCTTTTGCGGTTTGTAGTGCATCGAATTTCGCTGATTTGAGATTTTGCATGCATCAGCAATTAAAAGTTGGACAGCCGCCGATTCAGCAGCAGGTAATTGCAGCAGCAGCAGCCAGCAAGGGGAGTGCTGCTTCGGGTTTGTAATTACAAAAGTCATTATGTCTCCTGCGTCACAGATCGGGAAAGAGTAGCGAGTAGAGAGGCCCCCCCTTGTGCCTGAGCGGCAACTTATGTCAGTGGGAAAAGTTTTGTGCTAAACTGTTTGAGTTTTCGCAGAGCCGCAAGCAAACTGTTTGCCAAAACTCTGCATGACAGGCGCCTGCTGTCGATGCTAGCCAGCTCTTTTCTACGTACTTTCCACCTCTTCCCGCTCACTCTCCCCTCTCTGTCTCTTGTATAATATATGACCCTGGGTTACTTCCTCCCAGTGGGGGGGGGGGGCTGCTCTCAACTTTCGGCTTCGTCTTCGCTTGAGCGTAAAGTCAAGCAGTCAAAGTGCATTGCAAAATGAATTTATGGGCACGAGTTCTGGCTGTGTAATATTTCAGTTTACTGCCTCTAAACTGGCGTGCAAATGAAAATAGTTTCGTCTTGACTGTCAGTTTGTGTTTGCTTCTTATTGAATTTGTTGCCCACACACCAAGGGTTCTGGGTCAAAACTAGCAAAATGTTCAAAATTTATTATGGCACAGAGCAAAGAACGCCACAACCCTGCCCCGAGGCACAACAAAATCGAAGACACTTCAAGGGAATGGGCAGGGGCATGGCCAGGAGCATTGCGAATGTGTGTGACAGTTGGTGTGTCTTTTATAGTTTTATGTGTAGCATAATCAATAACAATTTGCATTTATATACAATGGAAGGGAATGAAATGAATGGACGACGTCCCCTACAGGCAGCCAAGAACCCCAAAAAAGAAAGGGAAGCAACAAAAACAACGGCAGGAAACACACACAAAACAAATAAAAACAAAAATGCCAGAAGGCAGGACAGGGCAGAACAGGGCAGGACTGTGCAGGACTGTGCAGGACTGTGCAGGGGAGGCCACAGCTGAAGGGCTAGAAAAGTGTTTTATGCCTGTCCTTTCCCCACTTGAATTTCCAACAGCTCTTGGCTGTACCCCACACTTCATTAACGTGGATTGAGCATGTAATTTTGGATTAGAAAAAAAGCGTTAAACAATAATAGAAAATTGTAATCCCCCCACTGCCACCCGCCGCTCCCACTGGTATTCGATATGCTTTGTGCCCATTTATTGGGGACAGCGTTCTCTTGTTGGCTCTCGTACTTTTTCGGACAGCAAGCAAAATGCCAAACAAATACACAATAAACAAAAGCTCTTGAACACACACACACACACACACACATACACACATGTCTAGTACCACTCCCACACACGGAGATACAGCCAAAGGAACACAAACACAGCACAAACTTTTGCGACAACTAAAAACGGCAAAAATATTTTTGCTTGCCTTTGTTTCCACACAGCCAGAGATTGGGGGAGTGGTAGAAAATAAGGAAGATATAGAGAGGGAACGAAGTGGGATAGGGACAGAGCGAGAGAGAGCGAGAGCGATGTGGAACGTGCGGGGGCCACAAACATGGCACACATCCTGAAGGCATGCTGCAAAGGCGGGCTGACGGGCTGACGATATGCCGGGCTTGGAGTGGCTTTTGTGCTGCTGCCAGAAGCGGAAATGGGTAACAGCACCGCATGTGTGTTTGTGTATGGTGTGTGTGTGTTGCCGTCCTTGCTGAAGGCTGCCGCTCCTGCGCGTGCAAAAGTATTTTAAATTAGTATGCAAGATGAATGACAGCCGCCATTGCCATCACTCATGTTTCCCTGATAAACTCTTTGCCCGTGTGCCCGTGTGTGTTCCTGCGTGTCTGTCCTTGCCTTGATTTGAATTTTTTAGCTTTTGCCAGGCGCCAATGAAGGCGAGCATTAGCGAATGCCTAGGCAGATCCTCCGCTGGCTGGTTGGCACGGAACCAAGGCAACCTCCTGCTGGATGGCTTGATGACATTTTCCACGAACGACAACGACTTAGTCAGCTCTCCTCTCGCTCTCCTAGCCTTCTTGGCTCCCTCTCTAATGCTGAACTTTGGCTTCATCTCGGGCTTACTCAATTTTGTGCGTCTGCCGCCGAGGTATGCCTATGATAATCACCCGAGAGTGTGCCTAATGGAGGAGCCACCTGCCTGACAGCTGCTGCTGCTGTTTGCCATTTTGGCTGCCAGCTGCATTGACACCTCTCCATCCATTTGATACTCTCTGTGCTCCTCCCATTTGCTTCTCTCGTTGCTCCTTTTGTGTCGCCTGTCGCCGCAGCACGTGCCCAGGCGCTTGACACCCGAATGGAGGAAGATAAAAAAAAAAAGTATTGTCCCAACATAACCCACACACCACTATCTACCATGATGCATGCATGTCTCTATACTCTCTCGTTTGCCGTCTATGCCAATCAAGACAAGGACAACAACAGCAAGCAGTACAGGGAGCGTGGAACGGTGAGCGAGGAACGGGCAGAGAGCACAAGCAACGGTGATCGGGCAAAGGGGAACGGGTTGAGGGAACGTGCAAAGGGGCACTGGCAAAAGTGAAAGCAACAAAATCTTCATCATCAAGTGTCATTCTGGGCTGTTCAGTTGACGCAGATACATACAGATGGGACACAAATGCTAACTACATTTACTCATACATATATGTATGTACATATGTATGGATGTGCACATGCTCTATTGAGGCATCTGTCCATGGGCATCCCTCTCCTTCTGCCGCTCCCCTTTCATTCTAACTATTCCCATGAATATTTATGCTTTGTTGTCAGGGACCTCCTTCTCGGCATGTTTTGGTTTGTTGTTTTCCCGTTTCGGCTGAGAGCGCAGTGCCGGAGTGGCGGAGAGGTGAAGGGAATGTTGGAACCTTCAACCCGTCAACCCATCGCCTGTTGTTTTCTTCGAGGAGCGTACGTCTGGCAAATTCAAGTGTTTGGCAAGTTTGAATTGCTTTTGCTGCTGCTGCTGCTGCTGCTGGCCATAAATGTTATTTAAACAAAATGCTCGATTTTGGGCCAAACTTTGATCAACTTAATGCAGTTTCCGCGGTTGGCAGGTGGCAGATTGAACAAAAGTTAGCAAACGAATGCTGGCCATGGCCAGCATCAAATAACGCACCGCAAAAAGCAGATTCCTGATCGAATGCGATTAAATATTATACCACTGCCTCCTCCCCCACTGCGCTCTGGCACCCGGCATTTTGCACTCAATTTAATGATTGATTCGAATTGAATTGCTTTCAATTGTTTTTGCAAACTTAATGCAAATTACACAATGCAATAAATGAGAGTGAAATATATAGCCCCACAAATTCTTGTCTCTGGCTATTTGCTGCCTGGGGCCAGGGCAAATATTATGCAACACTTTTGGCCCAAATACTTATCTGAGGGCTGCCGGATGCCACTCCTTTGGCCATTGACAACTCATCAAAAAAAAAAAAAAGCACTGGCAAGGTCATGATGTGCCAAATACCCCGAAGGGGCTCGAAAGAAAATGTCTGAAAAAACTACGAGAACTTATTTCTCAGTCGCTTTGTAGTTGTCTCTCCCTCGCTCTGCCTCGCTTCCTCTTTCTGTGTGTGTTTGTTCCTGGGCCACTTTTCACCATTCCCCAACTTTGTCACACTTTCAGCAATGCCTTCAAATATTTGCTGTCTTCTTCGGTTGCTTTTGTTGCCTGCCCGTCTCTCTCTTTTGCTTCTTCTTTTGCTTGGGATTCTGCTGCTAGCTCTGCCTCTGCCGCTGATTCTGCTGCTAGCTCTGCCTCTGGCTCTGCTTTTGCTTTTCCTGTTTATTGATTTTCGCTGCTGTCCCTCTCCCATCCGCTGCCGCTGCTGTACTTTTCTCGCATTATTTATTGTCCCACTTCTTGGGCTGGCGCTTAAACTACTTGGATTCTTCGCTTGATGAGTATTTATAATTGCACTTAATGTATTACAACAGTCCAAGGAGAGTCCAAGTAGAGAAGGAGAGAGAGCGAGCGTCCTGTTGCGGGTCTCAATACTAATTAAGTTGGCCAGTTGCTGGGCCTCTGTGCCAGCCTTTCCCAACTGAAATGACTCGTTGAGTGGCTGGTAGTCTGCCCTCTTTGGCCCTGAGTGGCACTTGCCGCCATTCGTAATGACGTCATTGCGGTCAGTTCGCGGCTAGGGCTGGCAGGTGTGTCCAATACCCCATACACATTTCCATTATCAAACACCCACAAATGCTGGTCTGGAGAGAGTCTGTTGCAATTAAAGCCCCAAACGCGCACAAAAATACAACCAAAGACTGGCAATAATTCCCTTAACCGCGAGACTTTGGACAGTTTGAACCCTTTTTGATGCGACATGACCTGAAAATTTAATTATAGATATGACAGGGCTATCAAACATTAATGGAATTCACTGCCTGCCCCAACCAACGAACCAACTTCTTTGCGTTTGCGCGGTATTATGGAAATTGTGTTCCATCTGCCAATCAGTAAATGCCATTCAGTGAATCAAATCCGACCAACTAGTTTACGCGTCATTATCATTTCCATATTTCGGACAGCTTTCAAATATTTGAAATTGAGTCCAGAGCTCCCCCCACACCCAAAACAATCGAAAACAAAAGCGAAAATGCTGCATGCTGAGCGCAGTTGTAATGTAAACACAGAAACAGATAGAGGGAGTGGGAAAGAGAGATGGTGAGGGGGTGAAGGGAGAGAGTGAGCTGACCTCTAATCGGCTCTATTATAATTTGTTATATAAATAACATCATTATCGCCATCAGCATGATTTCCCGGCCCCAAACTAGGCCCCTGCCAGTCATCATAGTTTGGGGCTGGCTGTGTGCCAGCCAAGCATACATATTTACATACATTTGTACATAAATGTATGTACATAAATGTATGTACATCATTCTTTCACTGTAATCATTCACTATGGTATGTGTGTCCCCATTTATATGCACATAATATTTTTTTTTTGGCACATTCTCGTTCGGGACTCATCTCCCTTCCATCTCCCTTTTGGCTTGTTGTGTGCATAAAATATTTTTGTGTGGTAATTTTTCATACTCACATTAGCGGCGGCGTCTGACAGCAGTGTGGGTGGGCAGGCGACCCACCAAATGTTGCAACATCAAGCTACAAGAACGCCCCACAACCCACAACCCACAGCTCTCAGTCAGCATAAATAAATAAAAAACCAGAGCCAAGCCAGAGCCAAAGCCAAAGCCAAAGGCATTCTCCTGCCATTGAAGGAGTCCTGTGGCAGAGTCGACTCCCTGGCTTGTGCTTGTCGCTTAATCGGTATTGATTTTCGTATTGTTACTCCGATGGCAAATATTTTATTGTACGTTCTGCTGCTGGCTCCTGGCCACGTCTCCTTGCTAGACTGCCAGCTTTCTTTCAACCTTTTTGCGCTTTTGGCCATGCTGATGCGTTAATTGAAAGCCATACAAATTGTGGTACGTACGTAAGGCTGGCAGGCAATTATAAAATTGTTTGGTCAAAGTTGATTGTACCGTGAAATGGACTAGCCCTGGGTCTCCGCCCCTTTAAGCTAAGCCGTCGATAAAGTCCAGACACACACGAACATGTATGCATGTGTATGTGTGTATGTATATGTCGTTAGAGCAAAAGAAAACAGTAACTGCTCCTCTGTTAACGCTGTGTGATGGAGAGAGAGAGAGAGGGATCAATTGCTTATTTATTGTGCTACATTTTCTACAGGATTTTGCTTTTAATGCACAAACGTCGTCGTTGTCGTAGTCGTTGTTGCTGGTGCCAAGCTGGTTGGATTGTTGTCGTTGTAAGGAATATGCTTTGGCACAAGGATTGACAGGAGAGCACAGGCCCCTTGCCGATTCCCCTTTATCATTCTGCACGCTCTCCCACTCACACACACATGTGTGTTCCTGTGTGCCCGGGGGGAAAATCTATAATTCATTTGGTCAATGGATTCTCCTGCGTTGCTCCATTTGCAGCTGCAGAGCTATCCGCATATTAATTTCACAACAGTCAACGTTAAATTTCATTAAAACTGGCATTCGATAACGCAATTATGGCGTGTTACGAGCACATCCTAGGCCGACGCTCCTCTCTCCCCTTTCGGGGTTTCATAATGGCATTAAAACTGAATTCGTGTACGATATTAATGGGAATATATTTTCAATGCGAAATAATTGACGCCTTGCAAATGATTTATTTTGGATTAAGGAGAGGTGAGAGACATGCGTATGGTCGGTTTATCGAATACCCAATTGCATATGTAAAGCTGATATTTAATTGAGTTAAATTTAAAATTGTCTGCCTCTTTGCGGTTCTTTTTTGTGTGTTTCCTTTTCGCTGCGGCTCTCTCCGTTTCTGTGGATCTGCTTGCCGTTCCCTTCTCAACGGTTCTCTTGCTCTCTCCGCTCAGCGCGCTCTCTCCGCTACTTTTCTCTTGCTGTCTGTTAACCGTTTCTTCTCTTATTCGCGACATCTAAATCTGCGGTGTTTTTGGTCAATGAAAAGAGACAGAGACATTCACAGTTCGACGGCTGCAGTCGCACTTTTTTGCAGTGTCCCCACACAAAAACCAAAGCAAACGGGATCGGTTCACCCCCCTCACACACATAGCACAAAGAGAACCAACAAAAAAAAGTAACAGTGAAAGAGTGGGGGGAACAAAAGCTTTTAATTGAGTTTTTGCGCGCAATCAAATAATAAAATCAAAGCTCATCATTAGAATTGAAACAAACGGTGAAAAACGGAAGAGAGGAAATGAGAAATTAGTGCAAAAAATCAATCGATGCGAAACGAGAGCTGGAATAAAGCCAATTAAATTATTAATTGTATTAATACAAAAACGCAGAGGGGAGAAAAAAAAGCAGCTAAAATATGTTTGGCTGCATTTATCAGCTGTGGGATTGGTGAGTATTTTTCCCCTTCCACAGAGATAACTGCGGCAAGGTCAGGCGTGTTCATCAATTACGGCCAATTACGAGCACCATCCGCTTGGCCACGAATTCAAATTAAGTCCACACACACACACACACATGCAGAGTTTTGAACGTTTTTCTTTTCGTTTCATTGCAGGTTGGAGGCGCCACCGCTGTTCACGGCCGGCACCATGGACGCCAAGAAGTTGCAGCAGCTGCAGGAGGCAGCCGTGCTGGCGCAGCAGCAGAAGAAGCTGCCGCTGGCGTATCAAACGAATCTCGTGGACTACCGCACGGCCACACACTCGCCGGCGGCACTGTACCACCAGGCGCTGTATCAGCAATCTCCCACGGCCACCAGCTCCAGCGGCGGTGGGCCGCTCTCACCGATAGAGCTGCAGCCGCAGTCGAAGCACCACAGTCTGCTGAAGCACGGCGGCCACGGCGGCGGCACTTCGAGCAGCTCCCACAGTTCGCCCTATCATCAGTCATACACGAGCAGCGGCGGCACGGGGGAGCAGATCTACCAGTCGCCCACGGAGCGCACCTACCTGGCGGCAGCGGGTCGACTGCAGGCCAGCAATGCGATGGCCGGCCACAATCCCATATCGGCGCTGCAGGCGCAATACCAGCAGCTGCACCAGGCCAAGATGCACGCCCAGTTGGCCACCCAGAACGAGGCGGCGCATCAGCAGCAGCGTACATTTGCCATGCGGCAGGCAATTAATCCACCAACGGGCCACTATCACATGAGTCAGTCACCCAGCATGGTGTCCAACATGACGACAATGACACAGCAGCAGCAGCAGCAGCAGCAACAGCAACAGCAGCAGCAACAATTGTTGCAACAGCAGCAGCGAGCGCCACCCTCCACGCTGAATCTGCCGAATCAATATCAGACGACGCAGGGACCGTTGAAGTTGCAGCAGCAGCAGCAGCAACAACAACCACCCATGCCGAAGCATTACCAGGAGCAGCTCTATGCACATCAGCAGCAGCAGTTGCAACAACAGCAGCTGCAACTGCAACAGCAACATCGCCATAAAGCAGATCTGCAAACCCCTGGCAGCGAGCATGGCACCGTCTACATTCAACAGAATCATCCAGGACATGTCGTGAATCAAGCGTGCCAGACGCAAATCTCCACAGTGAAGCCCAAGGCAACGCCCAGCTCCGAGGAGTCCTCGTCCGCATCCACCAAGAGTCCCACCCATGCGCCACTCGATCGCAAGAAGAGCGCCGGCTCCATTCAGGCACTCAAGTCGCCCATTACCAAGCGGCCACCCACCACGCCCGTCACCCTGTCTGGGTGGCTGCACAAGCAGGGCTCCGATGGCCTCAAGGTGTGGCGCAAGCGTTGGTTTGTCCTCGCCGAGTACTGCATGTACTACTACAAGGGACCCGAGGAGGAGAAGCTGCTGGGCTCTGTGCTGCTGCCGTCGTATCGGGTGTCTGCCTGCCTGCCGGAGGACAAGATCTACCGCAAGTTTGCCTTCAAGTGCGAGCACCAGAATATGCGCACCTACTGGCTGGCGGCGGAGAGTGCCGATGCCATGATGCAGTGGGTGAGGGCTCTGGCGGCGGCCAGTCTGATGCAGGCGCCCAGCAGCGGTGAGTCCGAGCCGAGTGTGAGCTCTTCGCTGAATCACAGTGGCGAGAACTCGGACTCGGGCATACACACGCTGCAGTCGCAGCCCAGCAAGGGACAGCCAACGCCATCGTCGGACAATGCAGGCAGCACGGGAGGAGGAGGCGGTCAGCCGTTGTATGCCAATGCGCCGCCCAAGCCGCGGCGCACCAATGATGGTGGGTACTCCTCCCCGTCGCCGGAGCACAACGAACAGCCGCAGCAGCAACAGCAACAGTCGCAGTCGCAGTCGCAATCTAGTCGCCGCTTGATGTCGCCCACGCAGCAGCTTTACCAGCAGCAGCAGCAGCAGCAAAGATCTCAGCAGCAGCAGTCTCAGCCGCAGCAGCATCATGCCATCTATGACACACGAACAGGACACGTTTCATCCGCCCTGCAGCTGCAGCAGGCACAGCAGCAGTACAATTTGGATCATCTGGAGGCGCAGTTCCAGCAGCAGCAGCTGGACATGGAGGAGCAGATTGTGCGGCTGCAGCAGCAGCGTGCCGCCGAGGAGATCTACGGCGAGCGAGAGATGTACATGGCAAAGCTGATACAGCAGCGGTCCGCCAGCGGTGGTGGCTATCCCACCCAGCAGCAGCTGCTCCAAGCTGAGCGACGCACTCCGGATGCTTATGGCAGATCCAAGCAGCAGCGTCTGTTTGCTGCGGCAGCCGCTGCCGCGGACTATGAGGACATCTACAACATGTCGCAGCTGGGAGGAGTCGTGGCAGGAGCCGTGCCCATGTCCGCACAGGAGGCGCTGCTGCAGGAGGCGGCCAGCTACCGGCGGCCACTCAGTCCGCCCAGCTACGATGGCAGCAAACATTTGCCAGCCATGCCCCAGCGCTACACGCCCAATCACTTGGAGGTAAGTGCACGAAAGGCAATCAAAGTTGCCACTTGATATCCGTGGCAGCAATTCGAAACTTTAGAGCGCGAAGGTCAACCCATCAAATCATTTGCGATGCTCCTTGATGTTTGTCTGATTGCAGCAAATGAATGGAGCTCTCCTCCCCTGACCTAGTTCGAAAGTTTTTCCCGGCATGCCACCTCAGGCACGTAGCTGGATTTTCACTTTTATGTGCCCTTGCTCGGTGCAGGAAGAAATTCTGATTATGTGGAGCTGCCTGGTTGCCGCGGATCTGTGCCTGAAAGGTATTTCAGGTCCATCTGCCTGAAGTGCAGCTGCCGCACATTGTTGAAACTTTCAGTTTCAAGCCACCCACTCAGACGCCTCTTGAGCACTTTGCTGGCTGGCCTCCTTGGACGCTTTAATTGGACCTTTAGTGTGTCAGTGGGTGGCTAAATTGCTGCAACTTTATGAGGCAGGCGTAGCAGCTTGAGCAGCTGCTTTTGTGGGTCAGGTCAGTGCAAAGACCAAGCCAAGAGACGGGCCAGGAAATGAGTCGCGTGCATGATTTGTGGTGCCTGCCAAGCACTCCCTCGAAGCCTGTTTAAAATGCAAAAACTGCCCTGCCATTACATAACCCTTTTCCCTTACTCCTTCCAGGCCCATGCTGATCAGCTAATCAATACCATGGACCTGCGTGCCCGCTCCGCAGCGGCCATTGTGCGTCCCCATTCGGCGGACTTTCTGGAGTACGAGGCGCGTGCCGAGGCCGCTGCAGCTGAGGCTGCCGCAGCGGTGGCCCAGAGCAAACACGAGAGCGGACGTGCGCCGCGACCCAAGTCCAGCTTGGACATTAATCGCACACCGGACAGCTTCTACTACTCGGAGGCCAGCTATGCGGAGAAGATGCGCAAGAGTGCGCTCTATCTGCAGAGCGGCGGAGGCGCTGGAGCGGCACAGCCACAGCAGGCGGGCAGCTACCGCACCGCTGGCGGGGACTTTGGCTCCGGCGTGAACACCATTGGCTACGAGAATCCCTACGAGCGAGCGTACAAGCGGCAGGAACTGCTGGCCGAGGCACAGGCCCAGGGTGGCGTTGCCAGCAGCATGCCACGCATGAGTCGCTCGGCCAGCCAGGGTGCGGGCTGCGGTTCCGTGGCACGTTCCGCCTCTGCACAGCAGCACCAGCACCAGCATCAGCATCAGCACCAGCTGCAGCAGCAACATTCGGAGGATCTGCCGCCACTCAATGTGCATCCGGGCTCCATTTTCCCGCCCTCGATGTCCACGCAGGAGATCATCTGCAAGAACGAGCAATTCCTGCGCTCGGCCAGTGCCCGGCTGCCCAAGCGCAGCGGCGGCATGGACGATGACTATTCTGCGGGCAACTCAACCACAACATCGCCCACCTCCGGCGCCGTGCCCTCGCCGCAGCATGCCCAGGATGGGGAGCGCAAGCGGGAGGAGTCCATGAAGCGGCTGCTGGAGTGGAAGCAGCGCATGCTGCAGTCGCCGCTCACCCGCAAGGGCGTGCAGCAGGGCGGCAGCAACATGTCCGCCATGTCCAAGCTGGGCAGCAATCCAAACATTCTGCTCTCCTCCACGGCAGTGGCCAGTGGTGCACGCTATGCCCCCCAGTCGGGCAAGCCGGCAATCCATGTGAGCGCGGCGACTCCCGTCGTTGCGGGCATACAGCGTTCCCGCTCGGAGACGCAGGCAAATGTGGGACCTGCTGGAGTCTACGCCAGCTACTCGTCGGATGATGAAGGTGAGTCTAAGGCCCATCCATTACACCAGTATTTCCCCCCCATTGTTTTTGCTTTGCTTTCACTCTGTCTGTCCCTGTGTATCTATAGCTGTAACTGTAACTGTATCTGTATCTGTATCTGTATCTGTCTCTGTATCTATAAAACATATATCTGTAGCTGTACATCTGTAGCTCTGTATCTTTATTTGCTCTTTGCTAACCGCGTGCTGCATTCTTTACTTTTACTTTTATTTGCGCTTTTGCTTTGCTTTCACTTAGCTGCATGTTGTCCGTGTACTTTTGCTAAGTTGTGGGCTTACACTCGCTGTGTTCCCATTCTATTTCGAGCTTTAAGACTGCTACTAAAACTGAGAGTACCGCAAGTCCTGCTAGTTTGCTTTCTGCTTTTGCTGCCAGCGTTTTCCCGCACCTTTCCCAAACAATCCTTTTCCCCCATTAACCTATTATACATAAATAAGCTTTCCTTTACCATTTCCAATGCTAATTTATCCTGCGCCAGCCAGAAGCTTTAACCAGTAATTATTTGTGAGCTTTTAAGTTGTTGGGACCCAATTTGTTTTGCTGCATTTTTTACCATTTTATTAAATAGAATTAATTGGCAAGCAATCAAACAACCAGAAAAAGAATAAGAAAGAAACCTTCCTGCCGTGCGCACACAAATACACAGCACACAACACACACCCACACACCCACACACACACCCACACACACACTAGAGAAACTTACACACACAAAAAATGCGTTGATAATTAAATAATTGAAGCCCAAAAGCAGGCAACGGCCCCACGGAGCTTCAAACTCTATTTTATTTTCATTCTCTCAACAACAACAACAACCAAATGGAAATGGAAATGGAAATGGAAAACGGAATATAATCCATACAAAAAATATATCCATGTAGTCTCTGTCTCTGTCTCGCTCTCTCCCTCTCTCTGTCTCTTTAAAGCAATCAACTTTCTGTTTATGTTTCCTTTTTATTTGTATTACTTTCATGGGCTTTGAAATGGTTAAAAAAAAAAAACTAAAACAAAATATTTACACACATTCCACAATTCTGGCGTAGTTAATTTCATTTTCATCTTCGTTCGGACGACTGGGTGCTTGGTGTTTCTACTACTAAATGCCGCTGTAAACTTCGCACTAAAACCCCCAAACAAAAAAATACAAACAAAAAAATAAAAATATAAATAAAAAAACTCAAACTCAAAACTCAATCTGGGATCATAGCGCAATCGAACACCCATTTGATTGAATTTAATTACCAAGCAAAATATAAAAATATTTGTTTTATATTTCTTCTTTTTCCACATACCAAAAAAAAAAAACAAAAAAAAAAAAAACAAAAAATATAAAAATATTTTCGTTGTGTATACCGTTCATTTTGGCTCTCTTTAAACAAACACCAACAAAAACACAATTCTTCAATTAATGTAAATGTAAAAAAAATGTAAAAAAAACATAAAAAAACGCACGATAAAAAAAAAAAACAAAACACAAACGCAGATGGGACTGTGGATGATACAGGGTATCATGGTGGCGCGGCAGGAAGGTCTACAACAGAAACAACAACAATTAATAATGAAAAAACAACAACAACAATGACAGGAAACACTACAACAACAACAACAACAACAACAACAACAACAGCAAGCAATAATGTAGCATTAGAAACAATAGAAAGACTTGGCAGTAGCAACAATTTAACACCAACAGCAGAAAATACAACAACAACAACAGTTACACCAACAACACCAACAATCAATACAAAATTCCAACTAAAACCGATACTAAAAGTGCACGAGGCCAGCAGCAGGCCCATTATTCAGGTGCAGCCAAAACGGCCCGAGGAGAGGCCAAAACTGAAATTGCAATTGCCAGCGGCGGACATGGTTGAGGATGGGGAGCAGCCTGTGCCCATTTTGCCAAAGAAAACAGCACCCAAGTCGCCGCAGAATGCCAATTATGTGCCCGTATACAACAATAAGCTGGTCAGCAGCGGCAACTATGAAAACATGGAATTTGGCAAGCCAAAACAGCAGAGCTCAGGCCAGGCAGAGGCAGGAGGAGAGGCACAGGCACAGGCACGGGCACAGGCACAGGCACAGGCACAGTCCAGTATGGCGATTAATGATCCCGAGGAGACACCCATGTTGATGCAGCTAAAGCTGTTTAAGGAGCAGCAACAAGAGGCAGCCACACAAAGGCAGGAGCAGGAGCTGCAGCAGGACGAGAACGATTTAACGCCAACGGCAGAAAGCAGGCCACCACTTGGACAGGCAGACGATGATGATGATGCTGCAACAGCACGATTGAGGGACTCAATACAGTCGGATGAGGATGCAGCAGTATTGCCACAGGATGAGGATGAGGATGAGGATGATGATGAGGATGAGAGCACCGCCTGTGAGGAGTACACAGATGATGATATTGACGAGGCCTTGGCACAGGACGATGAGGAGAAGGATGAGCAGCACTCCTACCCCGACCTACCCACTGATAAGGAGCTGCAGCAGCTTTATGTCAATGAGCCCATTACGCCCACGGATCAGCAGTTCGACGAGAGTCACTATCTGCCCATGACGCCCAAGAAGGTCGAACTGGGTCAGCCGGGCACCCTCAGCCTGGTGGCCACGCACGACAGCTACATGGAGGTGGAGGAGGAGAATCACTATGTGGAAATGACCAAGGGCATGCAGGACGAGGATGGCAGAAACAACTACGAGATCATGTGCATTGCCAGCTCCAGTTCGAGTAAAATAATCAAAGCGGAGCCTGTGTACATGGAGCTGGCGGGGGTCAAGGCAGCAGCTGCCGCCGCTGCCGAGGAGGCGCACTGCTCCTCTGGACGTTCTACTCTCAAAAAGGGCAAGAAGTGTGGCTCGGAGACGTTGAAGAAAAAGTCCAAGAAGCGGCAGGGCAAGGACATGCCGGACATACTCAAGCCAGCCAAGAGTGCGCTGGCTTTGGGCAGCGACAGCTCGGATGCGGATGATGAGAGCAGCCGGCAGCAGCTGGAGGCCAAGAAGCTGCGCTCCCGCTCACGTTTCAGCCTGTCGGATACGTTCAGGCCCGCGTCCTATTACCTGGGCGCCTCCACGCCGCTGAACAACTATGCGGAGAGCTCGGATAGTGAGATACTGCCTCCACCGCCCATTCCAGACTCCCCGCCGCCCATGGAGGAGCTCAAGACGGAGGAGATATTCTCCTCGGAGCACTACGACACGGTGAAGCGGCGGGACAGCAAGGTGAATCTGTCCTACGAGCAGCTGCCCAAGCTGCCCAAGCTGCATGCCAGCAACACGTCCCTCAATCTGTCCAAGGTGGATCCCAGCACGACCCTCAAGTGCAGTCGCCTCTCGCTGCCCGATCACTTTGCCAAGGCGAGGGCCCAACACCTGGCCACCAAAGGCACTGGCACGCCCACAGTGCTGCTGAAGCAACATCATGCACGGACGCTGTCCGACTCGAACTATAGCTGCCAGACGGACAACAGTTCGTCGAGGACCTCCTCGGACCTGGAGCTGTACCGCAAGCGCGGGCAGCAGGCACGCTGTCCCAGCAACAACTCCCTGCCGCTGCGGTACGTGGGAGACAGCAGCGAGAATGAGTCCTCCGTGGAGTTTAGGCAGAGGTCGGACTCTGAGCTGGATCGACAGCGTTCCCGGCGGCCACTGTCCCAGGAGTCCATCAGCGAAATTGAATCGCTGAGCGAACAGTTCGAGGAGACGCTCAGCAGCCACGAGCTGGACACGTACTTGAGTCACCTGCAGGGCAGGGATCTGCTGCCTTATCAGCACACGAGTCATGCCACGCCCACTAGCCACAGCCATGCCACGCCCACCAGCCAGCTGCTGAACGATGCAAATGCTGCGGCTGGTGCGGATATTCCAACGAATCTCATCAAGCCACCAAAGACATTCCGCAATGCGGACGATGGCGACGGGGAGCAGCATTTCTATGGCAACATTCACTTCCTCTCCTCCACGGACTCCATACAGCAGCTGGGCGAGGGTGGGGCAGCTGTGGCAGCAGCAGCGGCAGCAGCAGCGGCAGCGGCAGCTTACCTCACACCTCTGCACAGCCGGAACAACAGCAACATCTCGACACAGTCCGCGCCCTACTACTACTCGGAGCTGCCGGCCACGTTGCCGCTGAACAATCAGCGGGAGGTACACGCCCATGGGCAGAACATTGCGCACATACACAACCCCATCGATCGGCATCAGTTCAATGTGGATGCACTGGTGGACAAGGATCAGGCCATCGATAGCAAGAATCTGTACTGCGTGAAGGCGAACAACGAGAAGCTCAGCTACAGCAGCAATAAGAACATGAAGGCGGGACAGGCGCAGCTGAAACTCAACAACAGGCAGCTGCTGGGGTCAGAGGAGCAGCAGCCAGAGAGCGGCAGCCCGAGTGGCAGTCAGAGCCATCAACTAAACCCTGAACATTCATTTATCACCACAACTACTAAAAACACAAATCTCGCGCGTAAAACGATTGGTGGTAGCCTCTTGGCTGATGGCGCTAACATTCCTGGTGTGGGAGCAGCAGCAGCAGCAGCTGGAGCTGGAGCTGGAAGTCCGAGAACTCCCTGCAATAATGGCAATCAACTCTCAGTTCTAGGTGGCGAACTGCTCTGGGAGGAGGACACACTCTGGCGTGAGAGTCTGCGACGCGTCTCGCAGCGTCATGCGCGCTCCTTGGATGATCTCGACAGGATCACAGCCGCCGGTCCCAAGTCCAAGCTGAGTCGCGAGGTGACTTATGTGAACGACAGCCAGAAGCCACAGCAGAGGACACAACACTCCGCCAGCGATGAGCATGATGTCTATGTGCAGCTGTCGCAGTCCACCCAGCAGCACAACGATTCCGATGTGTACGAGGTGCTGCGCGAGGACACTGCCTCCAATTTGTCGCACAAATCGAATGAGCTGGATCGCGAAACCATACGACAGTGGGATGCAATGTCCAGTGGGCTAATGAAAACAAGCCACAGTGTGGAGAGTGCAGCAACAGCAACAGCCACACCCAAAGCCCAACTGCCGCTGACCAGCAGCGTGCGCTCCATCATACAGCAGCTGAATGGCAGTGGCAGTGGCAGCGCCCCAGACGATGCCAATGCAAATCCCATTGAGAGAAACAACTGAGTTTTCGCTTGCGCCCAAAAATATGCCACACTTTCTCGCGTAGTTTGCCTTTGCCCTGGCCTGCTCATCATGTTCCGCACTGTCTGTTGCTGTTTGCTTTCATATTTAGAACTAGTTTTAGACTGGCCAAAGGGAAACCAGCACACAGAGAGAGCGACAAATATTTATTTGTTTGCTTTTCATTTTTGTTGTTTGTTTGCACTTGTTGTTGTCGTTGTTGTTGTTCTACTCATTATTGTTGTGTTGTTTTGTTTGATTAATCAACTGGTAAGCAAATTTTCAAATTTTATTAAGTATTTTGTATTCCTCATTAAGTCATTGAACAAAAAAGAAACGCTTGTAAATAGAAAGCAAACACAGAAGTCACCAGAGCACACCGAACACATTTACACCTCATGTACACACGCTGTAAAGTCGCACACACGCACACATTCATATATGCATTTAATTGTATTATATTTAGCATTATTTTATGGGGCAGTTGCAGCAATTATTAGTTAGAAAATGGCAGCAGCAGCTACGGTTATAGCCCCACAGTTACCGCTTGGCTTTTAGCTTAGATTTTAGTTTAATTTCCCCATCAAAAAGTGATGATAAAACCAGCAGGAATATGCTACACTAAACCACATATTTATATCTCAAATCCAACTGCTGGAAATTCCTTTCCGTTTACCATTTATCGTTGCTTTTCCCCTTAAATTTCGCGCACGCATTGTAACTATTTTGAAGTGCCTCTCCCTTATCCCTCTGCTCCCCCCCAGCAGCCATTTACAATATTTATTTAATGATTTCCAACCCAACCTGTAGCCTCGATTTCGGTGCGCAATGTGAACAATTTGCCCGTGGGTAATCTGACGGTGAAGCCGGAGCCCAGCGATGGCCAGCAGGAGTCCGCCTTTGCGCCGTACTATGGCGAAACGAAGTACGCAAAGGCCACAGTGTTAACGGATCGAGGACTCTACGCTGGAGCCACCGCCACGCCGCAGCAGCATCCACAGCAGCAGCCATTCCGGCTGCGACGTGCTGGCAGTCGAGCGGAAATCGATATGCTGGAGCGTGAGACGAGCAGCCAGATTAGGGTAAGTTTTCGAACAGCGGAAAGCGAGAGCGAATGTGCGGGAATGTAGCCTGCCAAGTACTCACCATTTAGCACCCACAGAACTTGGATGTGTCCGCTGGGGATCTGTTGAGTCGCACCCACGAGGAGCTGGTGCTGCTGCTCATACAGCTGCGACGCCAGAGCAGCCAGACAGCCCGTGCCATTGAGCAATGTTGCAGCGATATCCACGATGTCCAGGTGGCTACCCAGAATGATTTACTTCTAGGTCTCTTGGTGGGGGTTCTGTGTGTTCTGACTAATTGCTTAATTGGTGCTGGTTGCCCTGTGATGCCTAATGCTTCAACTAAACTTAATCCTCTGCCACTTTGGACGCGACTAACTTCGCTTTTGCTTTCCCACAGAATCGCCTGCGTGGTGCTGAAGGTTTGACGCGTGCCGAGAGCATTCAGCGCTTGGATTACTTGAAGCAGCATCTGCTGGACCTGGAGCGGCAGTACGAGAAGAGCAAGCCGCTGGTCAATCTGGTGGACAATATGGTCAAGCTGGGCTCGCTCTACCGCAACGATGCCAATGGGCGCGCCCAACCAGCCACGCTGGATCGCCTGGAGTTCAATCAGCGCATGCAGGAGCGACAAATGCTGCAGGAGGAGCAGAAGCAATGGGAACGACTCAGTCCCAATCAAGCAGAGCTGCAGGTGCGTAGAGCACATATTTTCCATGTGGAATATTTCCTTTAAATTCTTCCCCTTGCAGGCCAAAGTCCGCGAGCTCTACCAACTCGATCAGCTGCTGCAGGAGGAGTCTGGCATTTTGCAGAGCTTGCAGCGTGACAAGGAGGACCTGGAGCGTGCTCTGGGTGGTCTGCGTGCACGCATACACGACAGCAATGCCACGCCCATGGCGCTGGAGGCGGCCAAGAAGCAGCAGCACATCCTCGAGCGTGAACTGTCGCGTGTCCATCAGCTGCTGGCCGAGAACTCAAAGGTAGCCAAGGTGCCTAGTAGAAGTGTTTTGTGTTGTCCGCCTTGAGCCTTCCATGTCGCATGTTTGCTTTTGTAACTAATGAACAGAGAAAGTCATCTAACAAAGAAAACTAATCGTAAGCCCAGGAGTTGCTCGTGGAGTTCCAAAAGACTTCTACCCAAGCCGCCTTTCATCTGCATGTGCCACAGCCTAAGCTCCCTAGAACGTCGACTAATGTCTTGACCTTGTCTTATCTTGCAGAAACTGGAGCAAACGGTGGCTGGCAATGCGCGCCTCGAGCAGGAGCTGCTGCTGCTGCGCCAGAAGGTGCAGGCCACGCGTGCCAGCAGCAGCAACGGGCTGGCCAATGGCTTGGATTCCCATGCGAATGGCGGCGATCAGACCGCGGTGGTGCTGCAGTCCGAGCTGGAGCGTGTGCAGTCGCTGGTGGGTGACATGCAGCGGCAGCGACACGAACTCAGCTCCGCTGTGCGCCAGCTGACGGAGAACTCGACGCGGCTGTACCAGGAAATTGGCAACAAGGAAATGAACAGCAGCAGCAGCGGTGGCGGCGGCGGCGGTTCCACCAATGGCAGCCTCAAGAAGCGCAGCAATTCGACCAGCTGGACAGAGACCGATCTGGATGCCAACATGCAGTGGAATGGCAGTCGCCAGAATCTCAATGATTCCACCTTGAATCTCTCCACGCCGCTCTATGTGGACACCAACACCAACAGCGCGGCCAAGCTGAGCGACTACAATCGCTACAATGGCAGCAGCGATGCCCTGGAAATGAGCGGCGTGGACAGCGATGGCTTTCTGGACAGCAATCCGTTTGCCAATCTGAGCAATCTCGAGAAACAGGAGATCAAAACGGTGCGCATTGTGAAGCGGGAATCGGAGCGCAGGCATCGCGATCGCAGCGAACGTGGCCTGAGCAGCTCCACACAGAATCTGGATCAAGTGCTGGAGGAGGAGCAATACGCGCAGCAGCAGCAGCAGCACCACCAGCAGCAGCTGTATGGCCATGGCCTGGAGGAGCAGCTGACCAACGGACATCACAGTCGCTCCAAGTCGCTGCCAAGGAACTACAGCGAGCCACCAAAGCCGCGCAACAGTCGCCACATGAATGGGGGAGGAGCAGTGAAGCAGAATGGACACCACTACAATGGCAGCTACGATTACGACAGGAACAGCAACTACGAGCATCAGCCGCCGCCACCACCAGCACCGTCAGCAGTGCCAGTGCCACAGAGCAATGGACATCATCATCAGCATCAGCATCAGAGGGAGCAGCATCAGCGGGATCAGCGGGAACACCTGAATCCCCTGGCCAATGCTTACTTCGCCAAGCAGCTGCAGCAGCAGGCAAATCCCTCAAGGGACAGCGCCCGTGTGGCGCTACGCACCAAAACCGACTCCTTGCAGAGCCTCAACAAGAGCCTCACTGAACTCAGTCCGGAGCCAGTGTTCCAGAGCGTGGCTGCGCGGCAGATCATCAATGAAATGTCCGCTGGTTCGGCATCGGAGGATACCGAAAAGACTGTGGAGAAGGTGCCGCCGCCACACAAGCATCGACGGGCAGTGCCACGCGAGAAGCGACGCCACTACACGGCGCCCAACAATGTCAACCAGAAGGCCATGGAGAAGGTGCAGGCAGAGAATGATATGAATCGGAATGTAAGTGGCAGCAAGGTTATCAAAAAACTCAACTAACTGTTTACTCTCTTCCTGTAGAACACAAACTGGCGTGCACGCGATGATCTGGACATGGAGGTGGCCTTGAGGCCGCGCATGAATGCGCCCGATGTGGTGCGTTCGGCACTGGGACAGGGCGAGAAGATATCTGAGAACACCATTGATAACTTGCTGCTGGCACCCAACAAAATAGTCATACCCGAGCGTTACATACCAGAAACAGTGAGTGCTAATTGTAGTTGAACAAGTGTAGGACAATTCCTGACTTGATTTATGTTTGTTTCCCCACAGACGCCCGAGCTTTCGCCCGAGGAGAAGAAGCGTCGCCAGGAGAAGGTCGAGTCCATTAAGAAAATGCTGTCCGAGGCGCCACTCAGCAGCAATGTAAGTGCTCAAAGCAATTAGACATGGAATGGTTTACTTTATGTAACTTGTAATTTTATTTTGTATAGGAAAACGAGAGCCTGCCGCCTAGCAAAATCACAGCGGAAAAGAAGCAGCGCGAGCATCTGCTGCAGCTGAATCAGATCTTGGCGCAGCAAGTGATGCAAGTCAGCAAGATTGTGGCCGGTAAGTGTAGCACTCAGAACTAGCAATCAAAGTTTAACTTTTGCATTAAGTTCCAATTGATTACCTGAAGCAAATTCCCCATTGAAATGTTAATGCAATGCCTTGCAAGTTGAGTTTCTGTTCAATGTTTTTGTTCTTACTAATACGCTCAACAAAATCCAACCCATAGAACTATGTATTATGTATGAATTTATGTATATATAACTCAGCGTTCATTCAGTCAGTGATGACCACCCGCCTTAGCCCCTGCCCCCATTCAAACTCTCTGTCGAATCTCTATGCTCTTCTAATCTATATCTATATATATATCTATCTTTCAACTCTCTCTGATTTTCTAGATGATTAATGATAATAAATATCATATGCCCCCCATTCTAAATAAGATAACTAAGATCATTCTCCCTCCATTCACCATTGCGAGCTCATCAGCGACGTGCGCCATTCTCATTACCCTTTCACTTACAAAACGTAGACACTGTAACCCACCCACACACACACGCACACACTTGCAGCAGTCAATCATACAAATCAGAACACAGACTTGTGGCTGGCGCAAAGGTGAATTTACTTACGCTGTCCGCTGTGGGGCGCACCAATAACATATTCACCACGCTTAGCCAAGACAAGCGCTCACCCCTGTGGTGAGTCTTGTAAGTAAATTCGCCTTGTTGTGGCTCACATTGCCCGACCCCTTCATGCATAAATCCATACATACATTCGTACATACATAGCACCTGTCCAGTTGATGTATTCAATTAATCATAAATTAAGTAACAATCGCTGCGAGTTCCCTGAACTACGCGAAAGGTGTGCCCGTACCACATATCAAGCTGAATACTTTTAGGAACTTACATTTTAATCAACTGTTTATTTATTTATATGCGATTTTATAATTTTCTTTGCATTTTTTATAACCCTTATTTGTATTTGTTTTTCGCATTCTTCTAGGCAATCCCACTAGTCACAACTAATTAACCAGTAGCCCAGTCAGTCAGTCGTGTTGTTTATGTTCACATTTTTGTGTTTTTAAAATTGCATTTATTCAAGCATTTATTTTGTTCGAGACGCTACACACCACGTACCACATGTTGTTCACCCGGTTCGCGTTATCAAAACACTCAAACAGCAAACACACCCAGTACATACTTACATACATATATAAATATGCATACAAAGAACGGTACACTTAAGTAACAGCAACAGCAACAACAAGAACACAACACAGCCACAGCCACAAACGGTTGAGATTTACAGCATGCAAAACTCTCACTCCAAAAGTAAACGCTCTCTCTGTCACTCTTCAAAACAAAACAAAACGCAAAAATTCACAACAACAAAACAACAAAAATACTAAAAAAATACAACAACAAGAACAACCGACAACAAAGCAATAGCAACAAGAACAAGTACAACAACAACAACAACAACAAAAAGAACAACTACAACAAGCACAAAGAACAACAGTTAAAAGAAAAAAACGAATTGAATGCGTAAGTCAAGGTTTGTACACATTTCACATATTCAATGATAATTCATACAAAGCTCGTAAAATACTTTTAACAGACGAGTGTATGTCCTTTATGTAGCTTCCTTGCCATGCCCATAACCAATAATAATCACGCCAAAAACTGTGCCTAGTTTGTTAGACTCAACATTGGCCAAACTAATTCGCTTGCACGCCATAACTATAATTTATAACTATATAATATAATGTATATTAATATATAATCTAAAATTGCACCCAAGCTCACCTGACACGTTACACCACGCAAACGCAAAGAAAAACCAACCAAAAACACTCAAAAACCACACACTAGAAACACACTCTATAGAGAGCACAAAAAATGCAAGTCTATTGGAATTTAGGGATAAAAAAAACAAGAAATAAATATTCAGCTTCAAGAGATAAAATATATAAAATTCCATGATTAATTGAGGCTAAAGTAAAACATTTTTGTAGATAAAAATCATACAAAACAGAACAGTTTTTAACAAATTTTTGTCAGCTAAATCTAGGAAAATAATTCAGTTTATTCAGCATGGAAGTCAATAAATCAAAATATTCAAAATTCTTCAGGCATTCTGATCTTCAGAAACTTTCAATCTCCAAAATGTTCAAGCCAATTGCTTAGTTTGTAAACCAAATTTGCTGCACTGCCTAAAATGCGTTTAAAGTTGTCGAAAAAGAGTCCAAAGAGCGCTAAAACGCTTTGCCATATGAGTAAGTATACGCCCAAAAAGCATAAGGAGCAGCCGCAGGACAGATACCCAACACAACAGACACACAAAAACTTGTACAAAAAAAAACCCACACACACAAAACCAAAACCAACACAAACACAAAAAAAAACGATGCCGGATAGAACTGGTTATCGGTGTACTCTCTTTTTTCCTATGCCTCTACCTACAATATACTCGAAAACTTTTACAGCACGCTTGGGATGAAGGTGTTTGCCTATGTGCGGGTGAAATGGGAGTCTGGAACGTAGTGGAACTAACTCTTTTATTTCTTGTCAACCCACAGAGAAAGCCATGTCAAAGGCGGCCAGCCGAACGAGTCAGGGCAGCGATGAGGAGCGAGGATCGGATTCACCGACCGATTCACTGCCGCTGTACCAGCAACGGGATAACTTCTACAGCTAAACGACTACGAAAGCGACAACAACTAACTAACTAAACTCCGTTTAGCGAATGGAAATACTCGTATAATAATCAAGCACAATATGCGCTGCATTTATCTTCAGAATCAAACTAGGACAAAAATTTGCTAACAGTTTTTAAATGGAAAATCGTATCAATTCTTAATGTGACTGAGTTACGTATATACATAATCCTATATCGGGAATATATATCTGTTGAAGAGAGACTTTATTAAAGGGAAAAACAAATCGAACAAGTCAGTAGATTCTGCGAGAAAAATAAACGAATTTTTGGGTGAGCGGCAGTAAGCGATTGTTAATGCATATTATTATGATATATAAACACAGCAGCAGATACAAGATACAAGATACAGATACAGATACAGATATATATTATATATACAACATATACAATATGTAAATCAAAGATTCAACATATCAATGTAAGCGTGTTGCAAACGTCATTCAAACGATATCAATTATAAAACACCCACAATTAGCGGTCGTTTCTTGAACTGTAGGAAAAAAGGGTTTATGTAATTATGTACGCTACATATGTATGTACATATGTACATTTATGTATGCATCAGCTAGGAGGAGTCGAATCAAACACGTTCCTGTGCAGGCTTACAAACTAGAGACAGAGAGACAGAGAGAGAGAGTTGTGTGTTGGGCAGATGGTCAAAACTTATTCATGGCAACTAAAAACAATAACTTCAAAGACTTTTTGTAACGGACTTTTCAACGGGTAGCGCATTTCTCTCAAAAATCAAAAGAAAAACCAACCAAAACAGCAACAACAATTGAACAATTTTTGGAGCCAATATTAATGCATTTGATATAAAACGACTTTTTAAGATCAGCAGCATGGGGACACAGAGCATAGAACTCAAACAGCATCATTCCTATAGCGACAGAAAGAGAAACACAAAGAGAGAGAGACACAAAGAGAGAGTCACAGAGAGAGAGAGAGAGAGGAGTAACGGGTTTCCCCCTCCGCCAGCAGAACGCACAGCGCACTCAAAGCACACTTCGGACCTATGCAAAAATGTTATTTTCCAAAACGTACCTACCTATCGCAATTACTTATTAATAATGGGAAATAATATTTACACATGAATAAATGAAAGGCAGAAACGTAAACGAAATATAATTAAATTGTATTTAAACGAATGCAAAATGAAATATGAAAAAAGCAAAACGCTGACCTACGTACGACATGCATATATTAATTTTAAATGAAAGATACATATTTGAACAGGCATAATGCTGCACTATACACATAATTATTTAAATGTAGGTCAATTAGCCAGGCAATTAAAGTGAAAAGCGAGAGCATAGATCATGCTGGATGGAATGTGTTAAAACAAAACAATCGCAAGTCAATCGATATGGATAATGGTTAATGGATATAATTATACTCGAATGCCAACCGCTGGTTCAATTTAATGTCTATATAACTTTCAAAGTTATTGAATGTCGCAGTAGCTATTCGCAATTAAACATAAAGACATCATATGCATGAATAAACGTTTCAAATTGTATGCCTCCTAATCCCACAAGAACAACAACGATAAATTGTTAATAGAAGCATAAAGTAAAATATATATATTAAAAGTCTAATGTATCCACGCGAAAAATTGTACAAAAAGTATGTTTTAAGTTGTTAGCTTTTAGTTGTTATTGCAATGATTATGTTTATGCTATGTTTTAAGGTTATCTTTTATCTTTAAGTTGAAGTTTCCCTAAACACTCCCTTCGCGGTGCTATATGGAATGTGTATATGTACATTATTTGCTCTCAAGCTATTCTACCAAGTTCGCGCACACACAGTTAGGCAGTGTCCAAAACCCAATCATATATTGTATGTAGATTGTCGTCAGGCTTTTACCATTATTGCAATTTGCACGCATACTCCCCTAGATACTCGTACCGAAGCATAACAACAACCACAACAACAAATATTTATTGCATATACATAAAATATACATACATATACATATACATATATATAATATAAATAAATATACAACTACATATACAAATTGTACGTCATAATATGATAAGAGTTGAAGACGATAAAACTGCGAACGAAACGAGCGAGAACGAGAAATGTTATCAATAAAGATTATAGTTGAAAATTCAAATTACTACCCAAGTGGGATCTCTCTTTATTGTCTGGTGGTTACAGCGCGAAGGTTGGACGGAAGAGGAACTGCGGACTGTCGCAATTGCCGGCATTATTCAAGATCAATGCTAAGGGGGTGGTGCCTACAAGTGCCTGCCATGAATCACAATGAACCCCGGCACGCTGACAGCTAACATACAGCACTTGGCTGCTGCTTTGTGGGTGTTTCTTTTAGGGTAAAATATGTAGAGCATTCGAGATGGCTTTCTAAAAGCGATCTCCGGTCTTATCACATTAACATAATCGTGACTCGCCCACAACAAAAGTGTTTCAGCGATCTAAAAACTAATATATAAATATTCAAGCAGATATTTCCATACCCAAAAGTCATTCATCTGTGGGATTTTCGCACTCTCAACTCGACTGCTGCTTTAATTGATCAACCACAAAATGAACAGCGTTTTGTTGTCACATTAGCAGCCTGGCAAATGGCAATTAAAGTGCGTTTTGTGGCTGTTTTTGCAGGGCTGCTGGCTGGGTCACTTCCACTGCAGTTAAGCTAATTACAATAAGCTCAAAGATTGCCATAAGTACGTACATATGTGTACCTCTACACATGTTTATCGAGATATGAACAAAACCTGAATTAACATGAACCAATCAGGTTTATGGCGTCGCACGCTGATGATGATGCGCACAAAAAAAACAACTCAAAATCTGAGTGACTAAGGGAGCAAATATATAGTTGAAAAAAAATATATAATAAAAAAACCCCGACATGCGACATTGTCTCGACATTATTTGTGCGGAAAGAAGTGAGTCGCCCGCGAGCTTTAGTCGACTTTGCGCGTCTAAAGAGTGCGGTTCGAAGGTACAAAACTCGAACGAGTTTCAAGTGTTATGTTTGCCCCCCTGCCAGCATGTGTAAGTAGAACGTTCTCCCTGTGGCCTGACCGTAAATTGAAGCCCAATCCCTTGCCATATTTCACACAGTTGGCGCTGTTGGCCGTGATAAGCCAGCGGGTGAAGCTGCTCCAGGCCGCTCCAGCACCATTTCCAGCAATTGAGAATGCGTCAGTATCAGCAGCCATGGGTCGCACATCAATTGCAGTCTGTATCATCTCTACTCTGCTCCCATTTCAGTGCCTTCACCAGTCAAGATTTATTGGCCGAGGAATCAGCGGTTGTGGCCTGGCCACAAGAGGCGGCACCGCCTGCACCGCCTGCACTGAGCCATGTCCAGCACAAGCGTCACCGGCGACACCATCATCACAAGCGGCATTGGGATCATCATTTCCCTGGGGGCTCGAGCTGCCACCATGGCAGCCATGAGGGCTACGGTCCGGATTTTGGTCACCATCACGGACACGACTTCGATCCGTATCCGAATGGCTTTGGACCGTTTCCGGGCTTTGGTCCGCCGGGATATGATATACAGCAGCGTCCCTTTAGGGCAGAGCTGGAGCCGTTTAAGGGTAAGGTTTGGGTTTGAGTTTGAGTTTGTGTTAACACTCACTCGATTGTCGCTGCATTTCAGACAACAAAGGTGGATCGCGACCACGCACCAGCAGTGTAGCTCCCCCTACAGCAGCTTCCACAACCACTTTGGCACCTCCTCCCGTCAGCAGCAGCACCACAGAAGACAGCACCTTGGCCATTGACATACGAATTGGATAGCTTTACACCTTAGACCTCATTCTGTTTTATTCATTCATTTTGCCTGGCATTAAAGCTGCTACTTTAACCACAAGTTATCTATCCATTACCATTACCATTAGCTTGCTGCCTGATGCACTCTTGCATGCCCCAAAGAGCACTTAAAGGGATCGTTTGACAGACCAGTCCAGATATATGCTAATTCTAGAGTATAAATAACAAAGCAAGGGGCTTGGTTGTGTGGGGGGAGTGAGTTGAGTCTTAAAATAAAATGCGAATGCGAATGCAAAACAATCAGAAAGAAAGTCGCCAAAACGAAACGAAACGAAACGAAAACAAACAAGTTAAACCCAATCCAATCTGATCTTGAAATGAGAGCAGCACAAAAGCGTGTGGCCAGTGTCATTTCAGTGCCGTTCCTCTAACCCACACCACACTGCCTGCCGTTCCCGTTGTTCCTCTTACCCACACTGCCTGCCGTTCCCGTCGTTCCTCTTATCCGCACAGTGCCGTTCCCGTCCCAAGTCGCGCCTCTCACGCACCTTACGCAGGAACAAAGAACCGGACTACGAGTCGAACGTGGACACCCACTATAAAAGCGTAGCTGGGCGAGAGTTTGTCTGTCATTTGACGCCAAACGATCGTCGCACGAAGAACACAGAACGCACAATCGTTGTCCAGAGTCGCGTTTGGATATCATTGTGAAATGGGTAAGCCTGCCGTGCATACAGAGTGGGGAATCGAACGGTGAACGAACTTGAGTGGCGGCAGCATTATGGACACACAACCTTAGTGGCTCCATAAAACGAAACAGAAACAAGGGAACACAGTGGGAACGACGGACTGTCGACATGCCCACAATTATATATGCAAGTCGCGTTGATCTCGAAAAACAAGTCGCAACTGTGGGATCTTCGAGTAACTTTGAGTTCTTTGTTCCTAGTGCATCATCATGGAATATTACTGCCGCTGCTGGGTGTGCTATGTGCCTGCTCTGGAGTGGTCTTAGCCAGCGAACAGCAACCCGCACGCATTGTCTGCTACTTCAGCAACTGGGCCGTGTACCGTCCGGGAATTGGACGCTATGGGTTGGAGGATGTGCCCGCTGAGCTCTGCACGCATCTCATTTACTCCTTCATTGGCGTGGAGGACAAAAGCTGGGATGTGCTCGTAATCGATCCCGAACTGGATGTGGAGCAGGAGGGCTTCAGCAAGTTCACGCAGCTCAAGCAGACACATCCCAAGCTGAAGCTGCAGATAGCCGTCGGCGGCTGGGCCGAGGGTGGCTCCAAGTACTCGAAAATGGTGGCAGTGCGGGAGCGTCGACAGAGCTTCATACGCAGCATCGTTCAGTTTATGCGGCAGTACAACTTTGATGGCTTCGACCTGGACTGGGAGTACCCAGGTGCGACCGATCGCGGTGGCAGCTTTGGCGACAAGGATAAGTTCTTGTACTTTGTGCAGGAGCTGCGCCGCGCTTTCGATCGAGAGGGACGCGGCTGGGAGATTACCATGGCGGTGCCAGTGGCCAAGTTCCGTCTGCAGGAGGGCTACCACGTGCCGGAGTTGTGCGAGTAAGTTGAGAGAAAGGTGAATTTACCTACACTGCCGCTCTCCCCACGCTCTCTCTTTGCACTCAGAGCGACAAGCGCTAGAAAGAGATAGCAGTCTGCGCTTGCTGTGGTGGTTTTTGGCTTTTCACCTTAGAAGTAAATTCTCCTTTGCTTGGGAGTTTGATATTTGAACTGCGAGTAACGGTTTATCCCCCCTCGCAGCTTGTTGGATGCCATTCATGCCATGACCTATGATCTGCGCGGCAACTGGGCTGGCTTTGCCGACACACACAGTCCGCTGTACAGGCGCGAGCATGATCAGTACGCCTACGAGCGCCTCAATGTGGTGAGTAAACACAGCAGCAGCAGCAGCAGCAGCAGCAGCAGAGTGTCTGCGTGCCAAACTAATTTGCATCTCAACTCAAGAATGACGGCCTCGCGCTGTGGGAGGAGATGGGCTGCCCGGCGAACAAGCTGGTCGTCGGCATACCGTTCTACGGACGCACCTTTACGCTGAGCAACTCCAACAAGAACTACAACATGGGCACGTACATCAACAGGGAGGCGGGTGGCGGCGCACCGGGACCCTATACGAATGCCAGTGGCTTTCTGGCCTACTACGAGATATGCACGGAGGTGATGGACAAGTCGAAGGGCTGGACCGTCGAGTGGGATGAGGCGGGCATGGTGCCCTACACGTACAAGGACACGCAGTGGGTGGGCTACGAGAACGAGGCCTCGGTCCAGATCAAAATGGATTTCATCAAGCAGCGGGGCTATGCGGGCGCCATGACCTGGGCCATCGACATGGACGATTTCCATGGACTCTGCGGCCGCAAGAACGGCCTCATGCAAATCCTCTACGACAACATGCGGACCTATCGGGTGCCGGAGCCCACACGGGAGACAACGCCAAGGGTAAGTGGGCCCACTGCCAAATCGAGCGCGAAAGCAAATGAAATTTTTCATTTTTTTCCCCCTTGGTTTTTTTTTGCATTTACAGCCAGAGTGGGCGAAGCCGCCTGCCACTTCACCGAATCCGGACGAGGGCCCCATAGTGCAGAGTGAGACAACGTCGACGACGACGCGGAAACCGAAGCCGAAGCCAAAACCAACTTCTGCGGCAGTCAGCACAACGTCAGCGCCGGCACTGGCGCCAGCACTGACCAGCACCACGAAGAAAGCAACCACAAAGGTGAGCCAGGAGGGTGTGCCAGGCGGGGGGGCAGACATTTTTCACTCATTCCAAAATGCCAACAGAAACCCAAGAAGCCCAAGAAGACAACCAGCACGACCAGCAGGACCACCACAACAACGTCTGCGCCGGAGAAGGCAACGGAGGAGCCCGAAATAACTGTCGATCCGGAGCAGAAGCCAGGGGAGCCGCTGTTCGATCCCAGCGAAATTGATTGCACCAATCGCGATTTTGTGCCGCATCCAAACTGTCGAAAGGTAAGAGATTAAACCATACAAAAAGGCAGCATAAAATAATTTAATATTTTTACCCAGTATTTCCGCTGTGTGCACGGCAAACCCGTGGAGTTTGAGTGTAAGGAGGGCACGGCCTTCCACACGGTACTCAATGTCTGCGATTGGATTGAGAACAGCGATCGGTATTATTGCACACGAATCAAGCAGAAGCAGCGGGGCAATGAGGCCCACTAGCAGCTAAACTTTTACTAAATTATTTGCAAAACTCTAGCATAAGTTCGAGCATAAGTCCAAGACTATTTTTAACTTAATCTACGATTAGCTGTAGGGCCATAAAGTGCGTCAACGAGATTACTGCACGAGACGAAACGCATAAAAATATGAAAATGAAATATATGATTTTTGAAACAAATAAATAAGGAACTTAATGGTGCGTTCAATAAAAGTGGTGAGACATCCACAAAGCCTTGGGGTCTTGCATAATCCGACGTTCCGTACCATGCCATAATTTGAACGAGAATTTGCCATTTCTAATTACGCCAATAAACGCGCAATGACTGAAGACATTTTGCACTTATGTCGAGTCGTCAGCAGCCGCACAGCTGTTGGGGCAATCAACCAAAACCATTACCATACCGAGCGAACGAGCAATGATAAATAATGCTGCACGAAATGTTGCATTTTCTGATCCTTAACATTTGATTTCTATAAACTCAATTCATGCTTGGAGATTATGGGAGAGCGGGAGAGAGAGGAATTTAAATTAAACATTTGTGACACGAAGCAAGTCGCGCTGGCTCTGCCCCAAAATGCTGCCTAGAATCGCACATTTTGTCTCAATTTTAGTTGCTCTGAGTAATGGTAGAACTCGGAATGAGCACCGCATTGTCTATAATTAAACATGCCTCCAAAAACCAGCAGCAGATAATGCTAAAACCTTTTTTAAAATATTAAACTAAAGATGGAAGGGTTTTGCTTCGATGCTGGAACACTTCCCTATAGGGAAGTCTACCTTTAGCCTTGGGCTTATCCTAAGCCCTGCAAAACATTTACCGGGCCATCGCGAAAGAGAGCGCGATGCCGGGTGGCATGAAATGATCAACGAAAATTGAAAAGAGATCACAGACCACCAGAGAAAATCTCACTCACTCACTCACTCATTCAGAGCGTGGTGTGTGCTGTGCTTTTGACAAAATTGTTGGTGCTACAAAAATATCAAAATCGAATATTTTTCGCGGTCACAAGGTAAATTCATGGTATATGCATGTTGAGTTACGAATTGGTTTTGGACCGGGAGAGATCGTCTCGTATACTCGTGTACGGCACAAGGCACAGCACAGCACAGCACAGCCACAGCACAGTGAAATTTCCTTAGCTACTTTTCAGAAATTTCAAAAATATCAAAATAGATGTTGTTGGGTTGTGTGTTGGGTTCTAGTGGGCCCAATAGCGAGGTGGCCTGGCCCGTTCAAAAAACGACACGCACACGACGTGCACAGACGACGACGACTACGACGACGACGACCCACCGGGGCCAGAAATAAGCAAAATATTATTTAGCTAACAATCGTCGAAAGGGACACTAAGGATTACCCAGCCGATGATTGTTGGTTAAAATTTGGCTAAACGGCAGCGCGAATACAATTTTCAATCAATTCAAATATAAATGGAACCGCAAAAGTGAAAGAAATCAATTTTAATAACGAACAAAAAGTGCATAAATTGGAAGCCCACTAAAACTGTGACACAAACTTTGTGCGAGCCCAATTAAACGTCTATAGAGAATCCTATATATATAAACAGCACCAGATTCCCACACACACAACCCACACATAACCCTATAGATAGCTAGAGGACTGCCCGAACTATTGGCTCTCTGGTCACTGGTCCCAAATAATCTTTGGTTTTTGAATTCTTCACTCTTTCATTTAGTGCATTTAAACGAGCGCATATATAAGGCGGATGCATATATGTGCAGAATACGAGCGAGCAGTGTTAATTTCTAATTTTTCCTAATTGTTCATAATTACGGGAAAGTTGCGTAGAAAAAAAGGAGAATTTATGACGTGGCTAAAGTTCTAACCGCGCTGGAAACTCGAGGATAAAGATT